TTCGCGAGAAGGCATTGCGTAGGACTTCCCTGTCAGCGGCCGTATACGCGTGGCCATATGATAGCATTTGGGGGCACTATCTATAGACTCGCTTAAATTTCTGAGTAAAATCTTTACGAAAATAACTAAGTCAAGTAAACTTTGTAACATATATAGCCCTTGCTTTTAGGTTTAAAATCTAATCCAACATTATTGTTTGCAGAACACTAAATAATCTCCATAGTCTTATGTTAGAACCTATCGTGTCTCAATCTTAGCAAACTTTTAATCATAATGAGCTCCCGTATTGTGAGTTTTATTTCAATAGCCTTGGTTTAACACAGTAGGTGCTATGTAGATCTATGTTTTGGTTTGGACATTTTATTTCGAGTGGTTCTCTTTTGAATTCCTCATAAATTTATTGTTTTGTTTTTATTTCATTGACTTATATTTTATTGAATCGTATCTTCGTTGCCTAATCTTTTCTATTACCACTGGTACGGTTATTACCGCTACCATATGAGTTTAGCCTAATAGATTCAGCTCTCTCTGCTAAATGGGGTATAGTAACTCGAACTGATATACATACGTACCAGGTTGAGACTGACTGGCTAATTTTTTTCAAATCCACTCCCACCATATTTAACGAAGGTTTATAGTGGTATTACCGAGTGATCTACACAATATTTATGTTTATCCTCATTAACCTAGTAGCCTAAAATCATCAATTATGGTAAAACGTTCCTATTAGTCTGTCATGGTCAAGTTAGAGCCTGAGGCAAATATGCGTTAGCTCATGTTGGGATACCACATTAGCATGACGAACCAAAACTAACAGGACGAATAACAAAAGGATCGAAATAATGTAGTAACAGAGACAATAAAGATGACTGGTTGTTGAGAATATGGTCCGGAAAGACAATGAAAAGGCATGTCTGAAGGAAAACTGAAAGTTAAAGGGCAAGCTTATTTGCGCCACTGTGAGCGATTCTAAGCCATGTCACCCCATATCTCCGATTGTTGATTGGAGTTATCTCGCGGGCCCCAATTAATACTTCAAAGACACAAATAATCAAAACCTGGGATTTACTCATATCTTCTACCATTACATACTGTCTCAGCCAGAGTAATAAAAAGCAGACTGTCCCTTTGGCTGGTATATTTAAGCAACTGTGTGATTTCTGGTTGTGGAGTGACAGTTGAGATCGTTCAACGTATAGTGAGAGTTAAAGTAGCTTAAGCTTTTCTGGGCGATCTATGGCGCCGTTATGACGCTAGTTTGGGTGTGAAAAGTCATGTGTACGACTCATCTGACTTCATTATCAGACGAGAAAGACGATTATACCTTGCTAAAGCATTGAAGCCAGTCAGCTAAAGCTATTGATTAGTATGAGTTACATCCAATTATTTTTTTCGACCAGCAGTATGTTTCATAGTTTAATAGCTAATGCAAGCTAAGAATAGAGAAGTCACCCACTAGTAACAGTATACGGTAACGACTCCGAATCAGAATTTCGTTGGATAATTAGATTATTGATGTTCAACATAGTAATTCAATTATATTATGCTTCTCGTAAAACCTAAATCTCAATTCAAGTCTACGTGATAACGTGAGTGTATATTACCGACAGTCTTAAGCAGAAACAAAACAATTATCCAGTAACTTTACTTGTCATCCAACTAGCATCAGTTCATTAAAAATTCTAAATTTCACTAATTTCTTACATTATCGCTTTAGTTAAATGCTTGAAAACGTTTGTAATTATCTTCCTGATTAGTAATAAACCTACTTAAAGCCCGGATCAAGTTAATCTTAAATGCCCTGTCTCCAGATAGAGGCTCGGCATTTTAATTTGGTGCGTTGAAGCTTGTGATAATCATTTATCGGGTCTGGCCGACCGCCTAGTTTTACCAGTATGGAGGCCGTCAGATCATCCCTCATAAAATTTACAAAGTAATGACCCAGTGGCTAAGTTGCTCTGCTTCCAGCCTTTGAGCCCTGGGTTCGAACCTCGCTTCACCCACTTTAGTTTGGTTGACCGGATAGTATCACTAACCTTCATACTTAGAGTTAACCTCAAAGCCAATTACACTTCTGTATCTAATAAATGAATTAAACCGACTTATTAATTATCTTTAACAAAGTACTTATCTGAAGCATTACAATACATTCTGCTTATTGATTACATCTTGTCATCGGTACATTGATGTTAGTGATTGTTTATTCCAGACAACTCTAAATTCAATTTTTCTTTTTTATCCCTAAAAGTAACACTGAAACTATTTTTAAACTGAATTTTCCTACTATGTACATATCCGTTCATGTTCTATGTTATAACCATACAAATGCTTTAGTCATACATATCTAGCATAATACATAAAAATTCGCCAATAATATCTGTCACGCATGCATACAATTTATCTTCTGGATGACTAGTCAATGTTCTGGGGAATTGTTTTTTTTTCAGGTGTGTTATATTGACTACTTGTTACATTATTTTCAGGCCTACTGATTTAAACAATATTACTGTTAGTTGATGTACGCGTGAAATTCGTTACCCTTATTTTACCAACACACATACACATACATTGTGTATCTATCTCATCCTACGGTTCCAGTGTTCATATGTGGCTTTTTGTTCAAACAGCGATGTTCATATGTGCTGGAAAAAACACACACTTATTTCAAGCATAAAACTTTAACTACAGTAATGTGGAAAGAGTTTTTGGTTGTTTATTTGGTGTTAGTTATATTTTCACAGTAATGTACCAAAATATCATGCTGATGAGCTTACGCCATCGTACAAACGAAAAAAATTGAAATTGAGTAAATTTGGTCCGACTTTGATATGTTTATTTAAATTTTGTTCAGTAAATTGAATAGTCGTGTGTCGGATATTTCAGTTATTTTTGTCATGTTATTGGTACTGTAAAGAAATTGTATGGTGACTTTTTTCAGATCATAGTGATAGTTGTGTTTAAGAATGAAGCCACTTAATTTTTACCTGAGTAAGTAAATGAATCAATAATCTAAGCATTCAAATTTCCACAATCGAATTTTCTTGAAATCTTGGATCGATCTATGACAACCATTAAGAACCTGGGAGCACTGGACGGATGTTTCGTCCTGGTATGGGACTCCTTAGTAGTGAGCATCCATGATTAGAATTCTGTACTAATGTCTACAGATCTTTGGGAATTTTCATCTATAAATTTCGAACTTCTTTCTACCTCTGTAGTGAAATACATATATATGCATTTATTGTTAGGTGGTTGAAAGTAGTCACTAGGCAAACCCTGGGTTTAGGTTTCGTGCTAATTGATACTTCTCAACCCAGTGTGCTGACAAGCCTGTGGAAACTGATACTCACTATAGGACTCAAACCCACATCACCTTGACAGTCTGAAATGATAATACTGGACTATTCAGGCTGCTATTGAACTGCGTTATTTAAACTTACATTGATTTCTATCTGTTTATCTAGTAAAGTTTTATTAGTATAATGCGAATGTAGCTATGTAGTGTTCTTTTTACCAACATGAATCATGGTCACAATACTAAAATGAACTTAAATTAACGAATTGATTGGAATCCTGTCAAGATTTTTCCAAGGAAATATATTGTTTCTTTTCATACAATGTGAAAATGTTTGCGAAATATCTCTCATTTATATAGTCTGTAAGCGAACGTTCGCTTATAAAATCCTAACTCTACAACACTTTCACTCATCATTAAGTGATGAATTTAGACTAATCTTCACCTTTTACAGTTGAACCAACCGACTAGTAACATCTGAAAATCTCGATGTCTAGACATGGGCTTCCGCTTAGTTTATGTGTGTATAATTATTATTTAATTCAGATTATGTCTAAACTTTACAAATTAAAGCATTTTTTTGTCTTACTCTGTTCTTCATTTATCTCATAAAGGCACCAAATATTCATTTGGGTCATTTTATAGGGTACTGACAACTTGATCCAGATCCACACGGTAATCGAGATCGGTGGTTGGAGACATCGGAGGGGGGATATTGACATAAATAACAAATCGACTAATTCACTAGGTACTTGGAGTCACATTTTAAGTGTGTGGGCTAATGACACTACCTGGTTGCCTATACTGAAGTAGGTGGAGTGGGATTCGAATCCGGGATCCAGTGGCTGAAAGTCAAACGTTTTGACCGTCAGACATGGCTCAAAATCGATCACAATAATCCAGACGCTTTCACCCTTCATCTTCCTTTCTATCTTGAGTTTTAAAACTACCTTAGATTTTTTAACCTGCAAATCCATTTTATCTTGTCTTATCATATTATTTATTATTCTATTTTCTACTACCCTTGATTTTTCTATTAGTTTCATTTAAGCACATAACCATTGGTTCAAGGAGGCACCATATATATATGTACCACGATTCGCCATCCGATTTGTGTCAGGGCTGTGGTGCCGCTCGGGTGCCCAAAGCGAAGCTGGCACTCCACGGGCATTTGATCCAGATGTCTAATCTGCAAGACAGTGGAGCAATGTTAAGAGATGCAGTCCCATGGTAGCCAATAACCAATAGGTTCATTTGTCATTTATCTATGCAATCCTCACAGGATGCAAATATACCAACTAAGTTTAATAAAAAAATTAGTCGAACAACAGGATAACCGAATCTATTTCAAATTAAACTGTTAATTATTTAGTTTTTCTTTTTGTACGTTATAATATTTTATTGTATGTATTTTTTATAATTTCCTCTTTTTAGGAAACCCAATTTCACCGTCATAGTAACTAAGACCACAATTTTTCTGAAAAGAAAAAAAACATTGTTTGTTTTTGAAGTTATCGTTTTCAAATGAAAATGTTTATCCTATTTTCTACTCACTAATTAACATTTTCCTCCTACGTAGACCAAGAGTGAAAAAAAGAATCTTATTTTCAATGTTAAAGTTACCAACGGCATCAGTTCTATCATTAACACTATTATTAGTACCACTATTGTTGTCATTATCATTGTTAATCCTTCTTTTTACAAAATGACCATTTCAAATAAATTTGGATGTCTTCCAATTATTCATCCAAGTGTACTATTACTTATTCCTCTAGTGTTATTAAATACAACTAGCGCCAGTTTGCAAAGTAAGTTATTTTGAATATGTTCTCTTTCTTGTATATTATAGTTATTATTTTCATATATACAAGGGGTTAACTGATCAGTGTCATGTATGTTGTGTTCTTTTTAGTATGATCTAATACACCTCAGTTATACAGGAGGTCAGCTGCAGCCCCGATATCTCAGTGGTAACATCTCTGACTGTGAAGTCGGGTGACAAGAGATCAATTCCACCAGGGAACATTAGTCCCCTCAGAATTACAAGTACACCTTCCTGATGAGTTGTGGCGAATAACACGCAATCTCTATATCGAGTAGCGTTTCATGTGGGCTACCTCCAACCACCACCTTTATGTGACTAATCACTGAGGAATTACTAACGTCGTCGGGCTTGTTTAGCCATCTCAGTAGGGCTGATTAAATTCTACTGATCAATTTGCAATGTGCCCATAGGTTTCTTAGTGAATCGGCATTATGTGCACTATGTTGGGTAGTTGTGGGAGGTGATCGACAAGGTTTCCTGTCAACTACTTTCAACTATGTAACAGAAATACTTATATGTTGTCTCTTACAGATGAGTAAGAGGTACATTAGTAAAGGTTTGACTCATTGTCTTAGATATTCATTCATAGGGTAACGTCTTTGGTTTTCACTTTGTTCAAAATTTATTAAGTTTAACATAGAACACAAGTGTGTCTTGTGGAATGAGGTACAAAAACCTTAGATTGGTTGTTGGGTTAGACTCATCTTATTATAAAGTTCACCCAATAAATACAACGACTAATAAAAATTAAAGAAAATATACAGTGCATCACTTTTCTTTACTTCAGTGTTTTTCTGTTGATGAATATCATATTATGCAAAAATGTGCAAAACATTTTTTGGATTGTAAAACCCTTACTGATTTCTATTGAAATCACCAACCGATGTAAGTTAAAAAACTATTGTAAACCTAGAAGAACTGGATAACCGTTTCGTTCTAATGTAGGACTCCTCAGGAGTGTGCATTCACGACCCGGAGACCGGGAATCCAAGGCGGGGTTTTTAATCTCATATGCAAACACCTAAGCTCTAGACCATTGAGCCCGGGATTCAATTGTATGCAAGTCTAACTGTAATCAATTCATGCTATTTCTTGTCCATTTTCTATTGTCTTCGGTGTGTAACACGTCCTTCACTCCTCCAACACGATGTATTTTGTACATTGTTTTAACAATTCTTTTATTTTTTACTTATTTTGTTAAAACAGTTATACCACATTTTACCAGCCTACCTCCATCTATCTCACAATTTGTGTATCCATCAACCGATGGTACCAGTTTCCCACCACTTGAACTTGTATGTCGAGCATGGCCACCTAATTCTAAGCTGCATATTTTAGCCCAACAATTGACATCACCAGGATTCACTGATCATACATTTGGTGCAAATCCAGTTGTTTCCACTTCATTAATTGCTGTCAATCCTAGTCATCATATTAATAATAATAATAATAATAACAATAATAATAATAATGGATTAATGCAACTACCTTATGGTCTTGGCAGTCAACGATATGCTATTTTATCCGCTACACAAATCACTAATTCTTATCATCCAAATTTAGATGGTACTATTTCTGGTAATAGTGGATATCAGTCAGTTAATCCACTGATTATTCATGAAACTTTAACTGATGCAATTCGTGACAATCCTGCAGCTGGATCTCATGATGAAGTTGCTATTCGTCTTATAGTTTCTAGTCAATCAGAATTAAGTCAAATGGAATTAATACGGTTACGTTGTTTAGCTACTACTTCTTTTGGTCGTAAATTAAGTGCACCATTCCGTGTGCTTCCTGCTAGTAAGTTTCGATTATTTTTATTTTATTGCAAAATAGTTTAAGAATTCTGTTATTGTTATGAATAAAGGCTTGTTATTTCCTGGTTTTGATATTGTGAATTGTAATTGGTTAGTTTCTGTTACTATATGGTGCAGCCTGAGCAGATTGTATCGGAATAGCGTTATATCGCAATTGTTATTAGCTGTCTAGACTCAGCACCTTAATGGATAAAACGTTGAGCGATCGAGGCGAAAGGTACTGGCTCCGAGTCCTGATGTGAAAATCAATCCTGAAATGGAGGTACATCCATCCAATGAGTCTCAAATTTAACCAAGTGCTCATCCTGGATTACACTACTAGTCACACATCATATATGCTAAATGTTATGTTTTAGTAGTTGTACGCAACAGCTTTTCTGTATTTAACAGTTCTTTTCTAACTTAATACTTTTTAATTCAACTTTAATTAGTGTTGTGACTTAGTCGTTAGGACGTTTGAATTTCAGCCACTAAGTCCCAGATTCAAATCTCGCTTCATGTACTTCCGTTTGGGCAACCGGGTAGCATCATTACCTCTCTCATACTCAGAGTATGCCTCTTACCCAAGTACCTGGTGAATGATTCTATGTAGTGTAATGTAATCTAGACTACTCGCGCATACGTTTCCCACATTTAATGCATAATGTTTCCAATTTTCTTGATCTCTCTCTTCACCTTGTTGCTCTCATACACCAAGTATTTACCATCTATTTTTTTCTGATGTCTATGTATTTGTTCCTTTTTTCGATTTCTTTAAAGGTTTGGGTTCATTCCCAACTCCTAGAAGTGGTGGAACATCTTCATCTCATACTGAAAATGTCGAGTTTCTGCGAGGGAATATTGCTATTGTTGACTGTTATTTACCAACTAATAGTTTTCCTAAACCAATAATTGAATTTGAATTAAACAACACCGTTATTGATCTTACAGGTAAGTAAAAATTCTTTATGTATATATCACGCGTATTCGGAACCAACTTCTAGTTCTAGGTTTATTGAAATGAAAACAGTTTGGAAGAAATCTAGGTCATTAACTATTCGTCTAAAATATGGTAGTAGTTACAAACTATCTGGTTTATGTCCCCGATTAGTCGCCACAGGCTTTCGGTGACACGGCTCAGGCAGATGCACTCACTTCTTATCGTTTCCTCAGTCTTAAATTCTAATGTTTTCAGGCAAACTCGGTCTTGCGGAATCTTATTTTTCATGCGTTACCCTTTTCATTGTCATTACTACTGAAACTATCCCAGCCCTTTTTTTACCATATATCTTGGTAAATTCATCTCGTTGTGCCATATTGGTTGGGGAGGGCTTATCCTCATTAGTCAATCACCTCGATTACCGTTACTATATATAAATCTCAACGGTGTTTGAACTCAAAAGGCAATAAGAAACGGCGACTACAGTTTATTAGTGGATAGCACATATAACAAAGTTGCAAATACATCAAGCGAATTGGAGCAGAGGGGCTAACATTTGTATGTGAGCTAACACGGAGGTGAATTTATGGTCAAATGGAATGAAGATACAGCGATGCATGACAAAGGCAATTAATAGGATTCGAGTAATGGTTCATCGGGAGATATTTGTCATATTGATATTCAAGCTAGAGTGAGATATGTGCGTAGGCTTTCATATGTGACCAAGTATGCACGTTTACACAGATATGATAGTGATCATAATAATGCAGAGATATAGACAAATTGTTACTGTCCGAATAACATTGTCTGTTAAAAAAGTTAATAGAAGGACTTGATCAAAATCAGCCGTAAGCGAAATTAATTGTAGGAGGGTTGCTGTAGTGGTATGGCAACTTTGTGCAACGTATATCTGTACCAGGCTTTACGTTAATAATAGTGACTGACTGGCTGGCCAAGTTTACAACCAGCTTTGCTTTATCTATCTCGACTTCACCAGCCTGACCATATCACTAGCTTCCATTACGAAAATCTATGACTCAAAAGAAAATCGTTTTTGATTAACAACGTGTTATTATCAAGTTATTATTGATATTATTATTATTATCATTATTATTATTATGTATCAAGATAATCTAACTGAATACATAGTCCACTTAGCAACTCATGATTTCTCGCGATCCTCAATAACGTCATTGTAAGACACCAACCTAGCCAATTACTGTATTAAAATGTATATGGCTGAAGTATTGAAATTTCCAAACACCTTACTGTATGCTGTCTATTTCAGCTACACAGTTAAAAATTCTACCATCGTGTATTCACCTGTTCTTAGCATCATTTAGTAAAGCTTTGTAAGAGTGGTTGTTATTTAGCCTTCAAAATAACAGAAAATATATATTGAATAGTATTACATTATAAATACCATAACATACTGACTCCGTTCCATTTTATTATTAGAAAGCAGCATCACTAACGATGCTGGCTGTCTGAATGAAATATCTCATTGCCTTCACATTCACCTAGTATATTCACATAAGTACAACTTCAACCTTAAACTTGATTTTAGTCTTAACGGATCTGTCTGGCATGGTAAGACCTAAAGGAACAAATGTTGCATGCAATATGACTCGTTTCTATAAAATATCTATCTCAGTGAGACACGTCTGATTTATTCAACAATTTTTGTTATAATCATTTTATAAGTAATATTGACACAAACAATAGTTGCCGAATTGATATTTGTATCTGATAAAATATGTAGTTTAAAGTTGACAATTTTTAAACAGGTTTCTAACCATTCCTATCACATAATGTACACTCTCATACGTACGCACATGCATACATACTACATATATACACACGCACACATGTAGAAACTTGATAAGTTATGTCATATCATTATTTTCTGAACTACTTATATTTTTGGCAACTTAAGTCAGTACATACTGTCAAGTTCTTTAATCCTCGTCTTATTTACATATGTACATACTTTAATACCAAAAATTCATTTACTACTTCACATATCAAGTAAGTTGGTTCTTAATCACTTGTATGTACTGCATGACGTTTATCAGAACAAACTTTTATTCGACTATGAATAGCGAAAAGAATAAGGTTATCGATCATTTAAAGATATTCCACTATCTCTAATTATCTACAACCACGATTATTTTTAAAGATAGAAAGAAAGTTATGATCGAAGAAAAATGGATTGACTATTTGAAAAGATTTAGAAATCTGATGGTGTTCAATAATGCTGGATTGAAATAAAGCGTTTTCCGATTCCATTTTTAAGAAGAGACTACGTCAAGTATGAGATAGATAGTAACTTACATACAAATCTTTTTCCAGTCGCCTCAAAACGATTAGCTTCCACTATACTATACACATTATTGCAAAACTTGTCAGGAATAGGTCGATTTTCGATCAGATCATGAATGTAGTTTTTCAATTTTTATGTAGACATCAAGTGATTATTAACAACTCTTCTGAGGAGATCTAAATTTGTCTAGACAATCTGCAATTCATTATGTTAACTATATGATGGTGAAATTTAAACTATGTACAAATTGTCCTTCTGTGATCCTTTGTAGCTGTTTCCTACTTTAACCTAACTGCTAAATGTTACTACTACAAATACTACATTGTTTTCTCCCCATAGTTCATAAATATTTTTGTAAATTTAACTCATAGCATTGTGGAGCGGTGACTTAGTTTTTAATCATTCGGTTCCATCTTCGAATCCCTTAACACGTATCTTCATTTTTATGAAACCTAACAATATTGCTAACCCTCAAACATGAAAAGCATGCACCAAAGACAAGTATATAAACTGATACTTGGTAAATAAGTTGTATTATCGGTTTATTTATGATCAGACCTTAGAGATTTAACAAAACTAGATAAATCTCCATAGTTGTGACTCAGTGTAGTATGCATACTCTTGAATTTTGACCATTGTATCATAAACTTTAAACCACACCTTATCTGAAGTGTTTATTTCAGCAACTTGCTGAATAATAGGTATATCTTCAAACCTCATATTAACTCTGCTTGATAAAAAGCCTAAAACAGGAAAATTAGTATTGGTTAAATGAATCATTAGGTAAATGCTTATAATGTCTTTTAAGATGTACATTGAATGATGTATAGTGATTTGTAATTTAAATAGAACGCCTATGTACGTCTAAATCGCGTAATAAACACTTAATATAGTTTATTATTTAGTTTGTAGCGGCTAAAAAAATTTGGATACTACCTAGTTGATTATCAGATTACTTATTAGGTACACACCTATTTAGGTATCTCTTCACACTCAAATTGATGTGGGTATGTGTATGTGCTAAGTTTGTTTTTCAAAATACATTTATACTTAAGCTATCATTATTCATGCGTGTACACATAAAACCACAATTTAGTGTTGTAAGAACATAGGATATAAAAAAAAGAAACTAGATAGAATAGTATGTATTCACATATCTCGATCATTAACTGCTGCCTTGACGCGGTAGTCGGGTTCTAATATTGTGACAACCCAGTCAAGGTATATTGGCTGGAACACTTATTCTTCTAGGTCCCATCATACCAGGCAGTGCCCCCATAGCTAATTAGCACCATCAAACGTTTACAAAGTAGTGATGGCGGCAAGGCGTTTCCCTTAGACAGACAACGTTTGCAGTGATGCTCACTTCTCGAAACGGAAGGAATGTATCAGGAAACGTCGGCCCTAAAAACAAAGCTCCTCGTCTTGCCCTACTAGTTTCTGTTGGTGTTAGTTTGACATTAAAAGTACGGGGCCAACACATCCTAAACTACTCACAGAAGATTGAGTGTGACCAGCCTCAAGCTGTTGCCCCTTAAGCACTGCAGTCATACTACTAATTCACTAAGATCACCCCCAAATGTTTGCCTTTCAGTTGCCTTACTAAGAACTAGCCTTCCATGGTGTGGGCAACCGTGAAGTGACAACCTCATATCTCTAACACTGTCCTCGGTATACATATATCTAACGATTGTTTACACATCTTCACCAGTGTTATCTATGGTTTTGCTGTTGAACTACTTGGAATTGTTGACCTCACATTAAATACTTTTGTTTCAGTTAAATATCTACCATACATAACTCGTAAATTATTTATCATCGATAATACAGGCAGAGTGAACCTCGAAATTATGAGTTAGTGGTTGAAAATTAAATATCTGAACCATGTAGCTCATTTTAAAAAGAAATCAAAACTGGAATTCGTATTTATTTCCGTTAGCATGAAGTAATGTTTTCAATGGATTGTATAGTTTTGTCGGATCTATTACAGAAGAAGTTCACTTGTTTTTTTTTAACAAATGCATTTTCATCCATAAATCATTATTTTGCTTCCTTTTTAAAAAAAATATGACCTCGTAGCTTCACAAAGTGAAAAATACCGACAAATCATCCGTCCAGATGGGAAAAGGATTAGTTTATTAATACAAAATTTTCAACCACGTGATTGTGGTATCTATCGTTGTGTAGCAATCAATCCATTAACTAGAGAAAAGAAATATTCACCGGATGCAGTAAATTTAAAAATTATCAGTAAGTCTTCTTTTTTTGTATCTCTCTGTGTCCGTCGTCTTTGTTACTTCTTTTTCTTCCATACTTTAAATGTAGTCAATATATATCTATCTCTTCTGAATGTGTAAGTATAGAAATAGATTGGAAGAAAGCTAAGAGATAGTGGCTAAACGAAGACACAGCATCGACTTGTCAAGTTATTAACTCCTGAAATAAGTCATAAAGATGGATGTCGATTGCTAACCTGGTCGGAGTCTGTAACCAATGTCTAGAGATACTGTGTGACATGGCTGAGAATCGGTTGCTACAAGACATGTATTCCTTCTTTGTTTTCAGTTTTAATTGTCTTTAATTGTGAATACATCTCAGTTGTAAAGGAGATCAGTCACGGCCCCGGTAGCCCAGTTGCAACATCTCTGAATACGAAGTTGTGTGACATGGGATTGATTTTATCATTTACCATCAGTTCCTTCAAGATTACAGGAACACTGCTGATGAATGACAGATAACATGAATCACAGGTCAAGCAAGGTTTTCTGTTGACTACTCCTAAGCAACACCTTACTCTTTATCTTCCCTTATATCTTGAGTTTTAAAATTGTGTTTCACTTCTTATTTCACGAATTCGTCCTTGTTGGAACAGGTGCATCCATTCTTTGCCTCACCCCAAATTCTAAGCTTCTGAATCCCTCGTATTTTTTATTTCTCTAATTTTTTATCTTCTTGAATCATATCTTCAATCCCCAATCTTTTTATCACTACCCATTATTACTAATTCTACTACTCTGGTACTTGCTGTAACAATTTCATCTCTCTGTGCTAATGGGTTTCGACAACTTGAACCGGTGTACATACGTATCAGGTTTTACGTTGTGACCAACTGACTGAGTGATATGGTATGGGAACTTGAACTAATACACACATAGGCTGAAATGACACATACTCTGACGACATATTGATTCTCTCGAATTCATAAGCCAAACAAACATCTTAGTTCAAGACCCTGCAATATTGTACACATACAGCAGCTCCGTTAGGTATCGAACTGGGAACTTTTAGGTCTCACAACAAGCATGATACTTTTGAATCATTAAATTACACACTATTCAGTTGATACCACTTCGTGATGATAGTTATATTCAAGTTGCGAGAATAATTCAAAGTAACGACACAATTATTGTCAGTGTAAAGGGTTTATGGATTTATTATGGCCACTGGAGCTTAACCACATAAAGTGTGATAGGCAGTTACTCATCCGTGGTATTGGTAGTTGGTTTTGGGTTATCGTGAACAGATTAAAATTATACACGTTAACCATTGAATGTCAGTTTAGTAGTTTGAAGCTTTTAAATGCTCTCCGAGAAACTTGAAGCTGTTGACTTCACCCTCCCCCTTGCAGGTTGGTGAAGACCCAAACTACACAATGCCTTCTGGTTTTCAATATTCGTTTAACTAAGGTCATTTTGTGATGTAGACAGTTTTTTTATAGATATTACTTAAAAATAAACTATCCAAGCTGCGTTAGTGTTCCTTACATATTCGAATTATTTTTCTAGATAATAAATTTACAGCGAAAAAAACTATTCTTTCTTACCCGCTCCCATAGCAAGACAAATATACATATACTTTCATATATATATATATATATATATATATATATATATATATATAGAGAGAGAGAGAGAGAGAGAGAGGCATGTAAGCTTACCCACTTTACTCTCCTGTCTAATATAAAGATGACATTGTGACGTGTGCTACTGACGTCGACAGATATAAGTAGTATGTGTATCACCAATCAAAAGTGAAATGCCTGGCGGCAGAAGGTTAAGAAAGTCGAAGAGAAGAGAAAGAATAGAAAGTGATTGATAAAAGAATGAAGGAACAATCAAGTGTGAGATAATTGTTTGACATTTTACAAATTAAGTATTTACTGTATGGTTCTCAGATTTTACTAAGAGATTCTGTAATTTGTATTCAAATACACTTGGTTCGCTCCAATTGTATTCTCATTCACAACAACATGTCAGCCTATATTCTCGTTTACAGACGTAATTATCAATAAATAATATTTTTGACGGTGATAATATCACACTTTCTCCTCTCATTTCTTTGAACACATTACTTCATTCGACTAAATCCTAATATCAAAACACTAATTTGATAAGGATGAAAAATATATTCCAAAATGTGAATAGATAAAGCTAGAATGGTAAAAACATAAGAATATTCTTACATTTTCCTAACTCATCTATACACTAACTGTAGTGCTAACTAGTTGAAAAATGAATCGATATGTCATCATGTTCCAACACATGATGTCTAGAATGTGGATCGATCAAAGCTTTTGTCCTATCAAGAAATAACAACTCTATGATTAATGAGTACATTTTTTGTTATTACATTGTATACATTCATTAATGTAATCTTTTGCCGTAAAATTATTTCACTAAGACTTATGCACATGGGCTCCAGTATCCTGAGGAAAAAATGGCGTATGAATCAATCGTTGGTCACTGGCTACCATGGGACTGCATCTCCCCACGATGCTTCACTGCCTTGTGGATCAGACTTTTAGATCAAAGGCTCCGCGTATGGCTCCCTAAGAAAACCGCATGCTTCAGTTTGGTCACCTGAGCAGTATCACAGCCCTCACACAAATCAAATGAGATTTGTGTGGCGCATATGTATCTGGTGCTTCCTTGTACTAATATTCATGTGCTTAAGTAAAATAAATAAATACATTATGCATAAATTTTATTACTCTTCGTATTTTTTTTATCAGTCCTGTCTGAAATATATTATAAAGTAGAGTAACGTAAAAATCACGTTCTTTCAGAAAATTTATGCTTCAATATCGGAGTGTTTGCATTTGTTTGATAAACAGCTTGCCTTTTTGTATTATTTTTATATTTTAGTCCCCGATGTTCCTGTTGCCGGAAAAATTCGTGTCCCTATGGCGTCGGAATCCATAGATCCTCGGAATTCAGCAGCATCCCAAGAAATAGTCGTTCGAGAAGGTCAAAATGTGACATTGTTTTGTATTATTCAAAGTGCTCCACCTCCTATTGTCACTACTTATCCATTTGAACAAAATTCCACTGCACATAATCGTTTCCATCGACATAATTTATTTGGTAAGTAGTTATTTTCCTGTTATATATTCTAGCTTGAATAGAAAATGGTTTGGAAGTAGGTTAACTCGAACCAAACCGAGTTATATCATTAGTTCATGAAGATTTTGACTTTCGAATAACTGAAACATACTGGTAGATGCAAACTCCTTATCATCTGGTTGTGTTTCATACGGTAATAATGATTAATGTTACTTGTCCAAGTGCCTCGACATCGCATCCACTATATTAATATGTTAGATGGCAATGTTTGGAGGTAGTCGACAAGAACCCTCCCTCTCAACCTAGGTTTCATGCTATTTGGCACCCATCAGGAAGATGCACCTCTAATCTCAAGGGGACTGATACTCCTTGGTGGACTCGGTCATGTGTCACTCAGCTTCATAGTCAGAGACGTTACCATTCGGTAATTCAGGATGTGACCCGAAGCTGCATAACGTGAGATTGAATCATTCAGGAGTCATCAGTCCTTTCAAGATTACAGATACTACTTGCTGATGAGTAGTGCGAATAACACGAAACATAGGTTGTGCAGGGTTTCCTGTTTGACTACTTCCAAACACCATCTTTTTGGATTAGACCGGCTTTAAACGTTTGATTGATGTAGCTTCGGAAAACTTGAGAAGGATAGAGTTCGGCTGTCGTTCGAGAATCTTGAGAGATTTCAATGTATCAACCTGATGTGCTGTATCAAAGAGGTACTTTGAAATAGAACTTAAAGCCTTTAAAATCCCTCTTTTATTTAATCTAGATGAGTAATATATATATATATATATATATATATATATATATATATATATATATATGAAATAAAAGACAATTGAACATTGATCGTTCCCCCCAATCTACGGTATATATATTGGTTTCATATTGTCTTTCTTTCCTCTGTACATTACATCAGTTTACAAAAATTATTTGTCCAGACATCTACGTTTATTTATAATGTGCACGCAAGCCAATATAATCTTAATGTCTCAGTATTCTCTTTCATTATATTCTCTTTTTCACTCACTATTTTCGGCTAATAAATATTTTTTACAAGATTAGATAGACCATATGTTTGTTAGAAAAAAAAAGAAGCAAACGTAGGACACTTGCCGCAGCTTCTGTATTTTATTTTCCTTCTCTATAAACTTGCACTGCCATCTCCCCGGCATATTACCACAGTCTCCTTTCATTTGATCCAGGCAAAATAATTTATCGTTATTTTTATGATTAATATTGGTATCAAGTTATTAATAAACGAGAAACAGCAATGTTGTCGTTTCATAAATACTGTATTTTGCTTCCATTTATATACATAGACTGTCATACTATATGCTAATGTAGAACGTTTCACTGTCCAGTTTTAATACATAGATTAAACCATATGTGTGAACTGTAGTTGTAGTAATGCATTTTTGGATTGTTTTGTTTGAATCTTCCCATTAATGTGTAGGGCTGCAATTGATCAGTCTCTTATTGACATATGTGCGTCTCGTGCGGATTGCAATATAAGCAGAGATGCATGGTGTATAGCACTGCAATCCAGAACGCGCTCCCCTTCATCTTATTTGGGACTGGATGTGCCTGCATCCTACAATTGATGTTCACTCCGGGACTCCTTGCTTATGATGCTTGTGACTTGTAGCAATATCGAGACGGTTCTCACAGAACTCACAAGTTTCAATAAGAGATTGATCAATTGCAGTCCTAAACACCAATGGAAAAATTCAAACAACCAATGAATTAAACTTCATGCCATTGCAAAAGCTAGTGGCTATCTGAACTCACTGGCTAAGTGGATAACGCGATGGTTTTTGAAGCAAACAGTACTATATTAGAGTCCCGGAGTGAGCATCAACTTTGAGATTCAGGTACTCCTAACTGATGAGTCCGAAATAAGACAAAGTGGCGTACGTTCTGAAGTGCATTGCTAGTCACCACCCGTCCCTCCTTATATTTATAATAGTAATAAATGATGGATATTTTGAAATAATTTACCAATTAAGTTCATGTTCACATACATTACTAAGAGTGCGAATGATCCGGTTATTGATATCCAGATGATATTCAAACCATTAATAATAAAAGAAACAGTTTATTAGCTATACTGAACTCTGTAACTCATTGGATAATGTGTTTGATGTTTACGGTTAAATTTACCGAGTTCATGTTTCAATATGAACATTAATAACATTGAGCTGATGGTACAACCTGTTGATCAATATAAAATAGTGAACTGAATTATCCTGTTAGCTACGATCTGTCTATTATATGTGTATAGGGATGTTTTGTTTTTTCATTAGTCGACAATTAAGTAATCGTTTAAAATTAGTTGACTTTTGAACGGAATAGTTGTGCATTCAATCCTCTTTACTTACTTACTCTTTGCTTAATTAATCTTTACAGTTGAATTTTTATAGTAGTATCATTTGTCGTAACACAGAAGTGTCTAGGATGAAACTTAGTTACATGAACATTTGTACTTAGCCATTAGTAATTACAGTTCAATCGGTAACATAATAAGTCTTAGCTTTTAAGTTCTACTTGTTCGATCATTGTATATAAATATTCTTTTCAACTGAGTATGATGTAATATACATTTACACCCCTTTTTTGACATTGGTGTTCACAATGATTACTAGTACATTCGTCTCTTAGTGTGTATATTTAAACTACACTAGATTAAAGGTACATCTTAACTAGCGAATCGTAAATGAAACAAAATATACATCCTGTATTCTACACTTACTAACTTACTTACACCTGTTACTCTCAATGGACCATAGGCCAGCATCGTATTCTATTCTACACTGCTTATCATAAATGAAAATCTATTGAAAATTTCTTATAGTTATCGTTTTAATATCAGTAAAATAATTTCATCTTTATTTTATTATAATTTTATATCAAATAGGATTATTAGAGATAATAAATGTACACCCTAGCGATGCTGGTATCTATATTTGTACAAATCGTCAATTAAGTTCCACTGCTCAACTACGTGTTCGAAGTGAGTTGTTCATGGTCTTATCGTTTTGATTTGAATTGTTGATTAGTATAATTTTTAATTTGATACTTCCTCACGAAACACCTTAAAAGGAGACTGGATCAGCAGTAATCTTGGCAACCTGTAAGCCTAACCGCAGTGTCCAGTGGACAACTGTCTAAGGCTAATCACATAATTTTTTTTACCAAGAAGTTTGTACTGTGTTAGCTTGTACTTTCAAAGCTTTACTGCCAGCGATACCAATCTGTAAGTCAAGATGAGGTGTGAGGAACGAGTCCTTCTTGTTGTTGAAAAGCGGCATCACTGAAGATTTTTGTTGTTCGAGGGGACATTTTACCATCATCACACCTCGGTACAGTTTACACAACAACTTCAGATTTCAAGTCTTACTATTCCCCACGTGATCAATCTGGTTTGGTAAGAACTAATGGACCAAGTGTTGCCACCAGTATACTTCGATTGGGTTACTACAGTATGCAACTCCAACCACTACTATCTTCTGTAAATTAGAAAACGCTGAGTAGCTATGTCGTCCTAATTCCCTAGCAATCTTCATGCTGCATTTGTAACCCCTTTTTAAACCACTCTATCGGAATTCCATCCAAATTATCAACTATGGTCAACTCGTTTGATTGACTTCGATCAAAATATAACACATTCAATGAGTCACTGGACTATTTTCAACATGATTAACTCTTTAGATAACTGGCCTTACTAAAAGTTTTGCGAATCCCATCTCAATATATATGGTTATTATGCAGTAATTTAATTTTCTGTGGAGATTATGAGGTGATATCGATAGTTCTTCAGAAAAGCCTTTGGAAATTGAAAAAATGCTTAAACCACTTTGGCTAACCAGCGCTTCTTAGAAAATTCCAAGCGAATTCTAGAAAACGACGGATTGTGTCATCATTTTCTGACTGAATATTAATCGTTTCTGCTGTTAATTTTAGCACATTTTCCAGAAACTTCTAGGATCTTAAGGTTATATGTGGCACCTTTTTGTTTTCTGTTTGGGGTTCAAGAGTAAAAATTTTATGGGTATAAGAAGTAATTCAGAAGTCAATGTCCAAGTGTTCAAGTACAGAGATTATTATGTGTTTATATCGATGATCGAATGAGTTCGATCAGTCATCAACCACTAGAATAAACATTAAAAATGAGAAAATCACGAGCTAAAACACACATACATACGTTACATCTAGTATCCAGCATATACATTCAATGGGGGAAAATGTTTACACTTGAATAAAAACTAATTTTTGTCTTCAGAAGTTGAAGTAACGTTTATCTTCCGTGAATGATAAATGAATCGTCAATAGTATTACTTATGTACTCCGAGTACATATTAATTTACTCATGTTTGAGATATATTGTTTTTATATACGAGCTGATAATCCTAGAACACAGTTGACAAAGTCGAAATAGAGGATGTGAATTGGATTTTCGAACATGTGATACATAGTTTTTTTAGGAGAGTTGAATTATGACTAGTAGTGGAGAATCTAGAATGCTTGTCGCATCCCATTCGCGATATTTTTTATCTTATTTAAACACATAGATATTGGTACAAGGGGGCACCGGATACATTTGTGCCTCACAAATCTCATTTGATTTGTGTGAGGGCTGTGTTACTGCCCAGATGCCCAAACTGAAGCAAGTGGTTTTCTTAGGGGGCCACACTTGGAGCCTTTGACCTAAAGGTCTGATCCACAAGGCAGTGGAGCATCGTGAGGAGATGTAGTCCCATGGTAGCCAGTGACCAACAATAGGTTCATTCGCCATTCGTTCCATCAGGATACTGGGGCCCATGTGCACCATTGGTATGGAATCAGGGTTTTCCAACTCCCCTAGGTGGACCCTCCGTGTCCACCAACCCGGTTAAAGCGCCAGACATTCGCTATTCGACCTCTCACTTTCGTAAACAAAATCCCTGCCACAAGAAGGCAGTGAGTAGGACTTCCCTGGCAGAGGCTATATATTCGCTGGCCGTGTGAGAGCATTTGGTTAGGGAGTACGGACTCTCCCCACTCTTGACCGTACCAGGGCATTTGGGGGCACTTAGGATACGTCACCTGTGATGTATCTGTTGCATCTCAGCGTTGTTGAAATCCATACTTGTGCTAGAGCTGAGGGGATTTGAATATTTTTTTCTCCAATAAAGTTTTTAAATAGAACACTAAGTCTATAGAAAAATAATGAAACTTTTCCTTACCGATATCTACTCTAATTTATTTTTCATGTACGTTGAACAATACAGAACGTTTACGTCTAACAACAAAACCTCAAGATGTACTAATCAATCATTTCGGTGAAAATGTCCATTTCAAATGTACCAGTTCAAATGAACAAGTTATACCATATTGGTTATTTAATGGACAACCAAAAATTACAGGAATTGGAAAAAGTGTGTTTCTGTTTTTTTGATTTTTGATTTGTTCTCAAAAATTGTATCATTAACATTGTTTTTTATTCGTAAAATCTTTTCTTGTGAGCTAATCCAAGTAGTCTACATTTGCTAACATGTTTGAGACTAACAATAAGCTATTTTATGAGGATGAGGCTTTGTCTTGATTTAGATATTCTCCAGCTTTGTTCCAACCTACCTCTATGCTAGTTAGCATTATACATCTGGGTAGACAGTACTTATATGATATATGTTTCAACTGTTTTTGGTTAATCAAGATTTATATTCCCATCAATTGATTTCTCATATGTATCTACTCGGTTGGAAGAAATTTAGGGGCGGCCAAACCGAAACGTGTCATCGGTCATTGAAGTCACTAACTTCTGATCTGAGCCATATTGGTAGATGTAGACTACTTGGTTGGGGTCTACGCGACTATCGTAACCAATGATTGGAGACTCTGGGTCGCATGGCTCAGAATCGATCACAATGATGTCGGTGTATACACTATTTGTCTTCCCTTGAACCATGAGACTAAAATTACTTTATACCTTTCTTTCTATTAAATAATTCTTTCTCCCTGTATCATATCTTTACATGGACTGTTTTCTTTTACCACCATTGAAATAACAGCTTCTATGAATCTGGTGTTCATCTTGTTGTACTGATGAGGTGTGGAAACTTAGACCGATGCATATATGTACCTGGTCCTACGTTGTAGCTGATTGATGTACCCACTTTACATGTTAATGAAAGTCGAAAATATTATTGTAGAAATGAAATTATCACCAACATAATTGCTTGACACCTTTGTCATGAAACAAATCTATTGATATCTTATACTATAATGTCGCGTAGTTTTTTTCATGCGAGTCTCTCAAACCGTAGCAGGTGAAGCAAGGTTCGAACTTGCAACTTAGTGTGAAGTCGAACCTCATAACTAACAAGTCCATCAATGTCTTATTTCTACCTTCTCATCATAATAAAAACAACTAATTGTTAAGTATACATTAACTTCCCCATTTTTCCCAATCACTTACTTACCCTCCAACTTGCTTACAGTCACTGGCTTTAATCAATCAATTTACATTATCATTTCTGGTTATTACACTCTATAATTCACGGTAATTACCCTGTCATAAATTCTTTTCTTGATATAACAATAGTTGCCAAGTGCATTACTGGTAAATTTATGAGATCCTTGAATATATATTTGTTTCATGTCATAAAGAATTATCAGTTGCCATAATCTCTTTACGGGAAAAGTTTTTTAAAATATGGATCTTAACGCAATGCATTCGTATATATTTGTGTGAAACTTTTGATCAGTTGTTGTATGCGTGTGTGTGTGTGTGTGTTTGTTCCTGTTCAGTAATTTTCAGCGCGTTGATCTAAAACAGTATTTTCACTATTGAGTTGTAGAGGTTGTTGAATTTCATTGAAATCATGAACCGATCTAAATTAAACCATCATTGAAAACCTGGAAGCACTGTACAGCATTTCCATCCTAGTATTGGGCTACTCAGCAGTAAGCATTCATAAACTCGCCACTGAGTATCAAACCCATAACCATCAATCTCGCAAGCGAACGCTTAAACTATAGATCACTAAGCCAATATTCAATCGTGTACAAGTCTAACTTCAATCAATCCCAAGATATTTAGAACTCGTAGATCCTCACTACTAAAGAGTCCCATACTATGCTGAAACGACTATACAGTACTTCTATGTTTTTAATGATTGTCTAACTTAAATCGATTCATAATTTCAATGAAATGTTCACTGTGGATTATATATATATATATATATATATATATATATATTTATATATTATTTCATAGAGTAAATATTCACAGCGTTCAATAATATTTTTTTATATATAAGATCTCTCTCTCAAATAAACATTATTTTTCCCTTTAAATATCTAACATTGAAATCAATCATAATTGACAGGTAAGTGATGAATTAATTTACCAACCTTACAGGACAATATATAGTATTCAATATATATGTATGTATGTGTGTGTGTGTGTCAGAAAGAGACTTGGATTTTAAAGAGTGACATTTTTTTATAAACAAGTTGGTTGTTATACATTTGGAATGTTGTAACTAATCTTTATCTAAATAACAGCACTCTGTAATAATACTAATAATAATAAAGTGTATTGAAGTGAATCGGACCAATTCATTCTAATGTTATTTTTGCTCGCATGCTTTCTTTCTTTCTCTTTCATAGATTATGAAATAATTCATAGACTGTTTGTAATTTATTTATTTAAACTCATAAACATTGGTACAGGGGGGCACCAAATATATATATATATATATATATATATATATGCCACACAATAACAGTGAGATGAGTAGCAGTTATCATTGATTTGTGTGAGGGCTGTGATGCTACCCGGGTGCCCAAACTTAAGCAGGTGGTCTTAGGAGGTCACACCCTGAGCCTTTGACCTGAATGTTTAATCCACAATACAGTGAGGGAAAGTAAAGAGATACAACCCCCTGATAGTCAGTCACCAACAATAGGTTCATACGTCATTTTTCTCAGGTTCCTGGTTTGGAATGAGGGTTTTCCAACTCCCCTAGACGGATCCTCATTATCCACCAACCTGGTTTTCGTGCTGGACATTCTCTTTTCGTCCTCTCAATGTCGTAAACAATACTCTTTTAAAGGGAAAGCACTGAGTAGGACTTCCCTGTCAGTGACTGTATATGCATGGCCATGTGAGGACATTTGGATAGGAAGAGCGAACTCTCTTCATCCTTAGTCGTAACAAGACATTTGAGGCGGAGCAGTGTGTTAGTATCAGTTCGATTTTTAACGATGATTCTTGTTGTAAACTATCTCTGTCCTAGTGCCCAGTCTGAGCATATTTAGAGAGAATATAGAAGTTCAGCGAAAAAAATTTTCTTTTCTACGATTTCATTTACTTAAACTGTACAATCGTATTTTATAGTCAGTTTAACTTACTAGCTGACTGTGTCATTTCTAATCTCGAAAACATTATACTTAGACCAATAATTGACAGCTATCTATATAAGATATGCTCAGATGACACTCATTATTTTTGAGAAAAATCTAAATGTTAATAACATCCTGGACGGGTTCAATCATTGTCATCAATCAATTATGTTCACAGCCACACTCGGAATTCCACTTTTTAGATGTTCTGGTAAAAAGGAGATCTGACGATACACAGAAAACCATTTTAAGCCTAACTTTTGCATGCAAAAAACAGTCTAGCTTCAATTGACTCATGATTTTAACTGTGAAAAAACAGTAAGTTCAATCCGTCACTCTTCCATGGCCCTAACTTCAATTTCTATCTCCCATAATCTATCGTTTTCATCTTATCATTCCTTCTTATCAATTATCTTCACAACTATTATAACTTCTAATAGTTCTGTTCTTAATAACTATCAAGTGGACAATTATTTCACCTCATCACTTTTTAACTCTTCGATTATTACATAACTTATTTTCAATATCCGTTTTTCAATTGTTGACAACTTACCACTTCAAGTTTTTTAAATTAATTAGCACCTTCCTATTTCACTATAGAACACTATTTTAGAAAATAAAATTTGACTATAAATACGATTGTACAACTTAAGTAAATGAAGTCGTCAGAAAGAAAATTTTCTCCGCTGAATCGCCTTCCTTCTTCTTCAGTGACACAATGGGTCTCTTCAGTGCTTTAATATAAAAGTCATTTAACACATGGACTGTTCAATTTATTTTAAGTTCGATCATAGTCAGTCAGTCAGCTACAACGTAGGACCAGGCACATATATGCGTCGGTCCAAGTTGCCTTACCGTTGCTGCTACCGTGATGTGGTGGTCGGGCTTGCCTATCGTGATGAAGCAATCGAGCTATATTGGCTGGAACAATCGTTCCTCAAGGTCCTTCCATGCCAGGAAGGTCGGTTGAAGAGCGGTAAGACTAAAAGCAGCTATCCCAAGGTCTGAAGGAGAAGTCGTACTGCTGACTGTACAGAGGTGTGACAGCAGTAATGTGTTTCCTTCAGACAACCAGCATCTGCAGCAATGATGCCTTTCCACAAGAAGGGGTGAGGTTAGAAAAGGTCGACCCTAAAAATACACATTTCGCCTTATCCTACTGATATCCGTTTCCGGCGGTAAGGTCCCAACAAGTACGGAGCTAACACAAAAATTACCCACACAAAAGTCGTGTATGGCCGACCTCAAGCAGTTGTTCCTTGGGCACTGCGGTCAAGCTCTCAGGTCACTAAGACCACCTCTAGCCCAATTTCCTTTTCAGGTACCTCTAGAAGAACCCTTTCACGGTGTGGGCAACTGGGAATTGATAACTGCCCTCATACCTCTAACAGATCACTGTATTCTTGATCATAATATCTGGTGCATAATTGTGACTAAATAAATTTTCAGCATAGTTAATTCTCCTGTGTGTCAATTTATGTACTGTGTTGTGTGGAAGATTATGCTGTTGCACAATAGTTAGCTATTTGAATTTTCCATCTGTAAAACATGATCTTCTAAGGTAGATGATATACGTAGGTTACTAATAGTTTTGCATCTAAGATGTCTCTGTAGCATTATTAGCTTACAATGGAACAATTGAGTGAGTAATACTATGTTGTAAATGTAAAGATTACCAGATAAAAGATATTAAATTTTTAAAAATTCTCTAATTCTCCTTATTTAAATTGCATCAGACACTCAATAATCATCATCATCATCTACCGTGATATAGATTTATGGTTGATATTTAAGGTTGGTAAGAAATCAATTTTGGGTAGTAAATTAGAATGCAGCATCTGATCATCCAATTATTGCTTACTGATCTTAGCTATGTGAAGGAAATACAGACTTCCTGGACAAGATGTGGTATAATTATGTTGACTTATCCGAACTCAATAGCTGAGTGGATAATTAGCTGGTACGGCCGAGAGTCGGGATAGTCTGCTCTCCCTAACCAAATGCTCTCACACGGCCACGCGTATATAGC